TCAATTTTTGGAATGCGACCCTTGCTTTGCCAACCTTCGCCTTTACGTATGCATCTGAACCTCCTTGTTCATCGATGATGTCTCCCAGGTATGTGAAGGATTCTACATCTTCCAGAGTTTCGCCATCACGAGTGATCGGATTGCCGTTCTCCGTTTTGAATTTGAGGACCTTGATTTTCCACTTGTGTATGTTGAGGCCTACTGATGCAGTGACTGCTGATACACTGGCTGTCTGCGAAGTCCAAATCGTCTAATTGGTTCTGAGCTGTCTATTGTATGCCGTGTTTTCCCTCAGATGTCGAGCTCTTCATAATCCAGTCGATCACCAGAAGAAAGAGGAAGGGAGAGAGTAGAAGTCTTTGTCTGGCTCCGGTCTTTACTTGGAATGCATCTGTCAGCTGTCCTCCATGCACCACCTTGCATTGTATTCCGTCAAGTGAATTCTTGATGAGGTTGGCAATCTTCTCAGGAACTCTGTAGCGTCGAAGAAGTTTCCATAACGTTCTATCTACGTTATCTACACTGTCAAATGCTTTTTCATAATCAATGAAATTGATGTACAGTGATGAGTTCCACTCAACTGATTGTTCGACAATGATCAGCAGTGTCGCAATTTGGTCTGTGCACGACCGGTCCTTACGGAATCCAGCTTGTTGATCTCGAAGTTGGGCGTCTACTGCATCTTTCATCCGGTTCAGCAAAACTCTGTTAAAGACTTTTCATGGTACTGACAGTAGTGTGGTGCCTCTGTAATTTTCACATTTGCTCAGGTCTCCTTTCTTTGGAATCTTGATGAGGTGTCCTTCTTTTCAGTCCATTGTCACTTGTTCCTCCTCCCAAATAGAAAGTGAATCATGCTTGTAGTTACTTCGACGTCTGACTTCAGTGCTTCCGCTGGTACACTGTCTGGTCCTGCAGCTTTCCCGTTCTTGATTAGTCTGATGGCCATTCTGATGTCCCCCGTCGTTGGTGGGTTGACAACTATAGGAAGATCTGTGTATGCTGCTTCGATGTCCAGTGTATTCAATGGAACCGGCCTATTCAGGAGTTCCTCGAAGTATTCTACCCATCTGTTCCGCTGTTGTTGAATTTCAATGATTGGCCTGCCGTCTTTATCTTTGACCGGTCTCTCTGGTTTATTATATTTCTCTGCTAGTTTCTTCGTTGTATCGTAAAGCCGTTTCATACTTCCTTCTCTTGAAGCTTTTTCCGCGGTCGTTGTTAGTCCTTCCGTGTATTTCTTCTTGTCGGCTTTATTGCTCTTCTTCACTTGCTTGTTTGCATCTATGTACTCAGCTTGTGCTTTGACCTTCTCTGCTCGTGTTCGAATGGGTGTTGTTAATTGCTGTCTTCTTGTTCTTCCTTTTTTGATCTTGTCCAGTGTTTCTATAGAGATCCATTTCTTATGATTGTGCTTCTTTGGACCCAGAACCCCTTGACACATTGAAGTTAATGCTTCTTTGATACTTTTCCAGTTGTCCCTCATAGTAGTTTCGTCTTCCCTCAGTAGATCTTGCAAGGCTTGGAACCTGTTGTTGAGAGCTATCTTGAATTCGTCGAGTTTTTCAGTATCTCGAAGGAAGGCTGTATTGAACCTATGTAGTGCTGTTTGTCCAGTTGTCCAGTTCTTTTTCAGCTTCAGTTTTAAATTGGCTACAACTAGGTGGTGATCTGAAGCTATTTCCCACATCTTCCATTGTCCTTCGGAACTTTTTATTGATGCAAATATGATCTATCTGGTTCTCTGTAGTGTGGTCCGGTGAGATCCATGTAGATTTGTGCATACGTTTCCGTGGAAATATTGTGTTGCCTACGAACAATTTATTGAATGCACATAGATTTGCAAATATTTATCCATTTTCGTTTCTCTCTCCCAGTCCATGTTGTCCCATAATATCTTCATATCCGGTATTGTTTAGTCCGACTTCGGAGTTTGGATCTCCCATCAGAATGGTGAGGTCCTTTCTTGAGCACTTCCCCATGATTTATCGCAGCCTCCCATAGAATTGCTCTTTAATGTCGTCGTTGCTATCACTGTTGAGTGCATAACACTGGATAGTGTTCATTGTGATCCCCTCCTTCTTTGTTTTGAATGATGCGACGATGATTCTAGATCCGTGAGATTCCCATCTCACAAGTGCATTTCGTGCTACTTTGGACAGCATTAGAGCAACTCCCTAAGTGTGTGGAGCTTTTTCCTCTTCGTGGCCGGAGTATTGCAGTACCTCTCTCGTATTTAGCTTTTGTTGTTCAGCCTGGGTCCAATGGGTTTCGCTGATTTCCAGTACTGCTAAGTTGTATCTCCCACTTTCCGTTGCTATTTGACTGGTCTTCCCGGTTTCTCACATTGTTCGGAAGTTTCATGTACCTATAAAACGTTTTGCTCTGGTTGTTAGAAAGGGTATCGCACTCGTGGCTTACGAAGGAACTCGGCTTTCACCATGAGGCGTCATGTTTCTTCTAAATGAAGACCTTCTAACTCCCAGGGCAGAGTTTAAATGGTCTGGATTATTTTTTCTGGTTAGCGTTATTTTAGCGAGTTAGTTTTCTACGGGTTGGGGTCGCTAACCTCATGCCAAACCCTCCTCCTTTACCCTGGCTTGGGACCGGCAGTAACTCCAAAGGAGCTATAGGCGGAGTTTACAAAGTTGTACTTCCTATTTTATTGTGTTATTTCAGGTTCTTATCGACTCATGTCTGTAGAGTAGAACATTTTGTTTAATTACGGCTCCTTATGTAGTAGTGTGATATCACGAACTTACGGTATTGTTACTGATTTACCATGCAAAATACCTCTTTAAATCGTGTTACAAACGTTGACTTGGTTTCACGTCCTATCGAGTAATCCTATTACAAGCAAACTAGACGATTCGCTAAAATAGGAAGCCTACTCAAGACTCTATGATACCTTAAGAAAAATAAAAATGATAAGAATACTAAAAAAATGAAAAGAGCCCTAATAGCTTCGACAAAACTAGGAAAATAATCGATTGTATATCACAATACTGTTTTCAGCACTATATTTTATAACCACACAAAATCCCATACTCTCAGCTCCTTTATGAATCGCCTCCATTTGTCATTTGTATGTCCAGTCATACCTTGTTTACACTTATTTTCTTTAATCTAGCTCCCATCTTCAGTTGATCTATCCTTGACCATCAGTTGAACATTCGCAACGCAACTTTTATGAAGCGCGCTGTGATACTGACTAAAACCATCTACATTCATACCTTATAAATTGTCAACCCAGCTGAGTAATTTACTACAGTGAAAATTGTATCATTTGTAACAATTTTATCTTGCCTGTAAACTGGCATGCCTCATGTAACAAACTGTTATTTGAGAATAAATTATTATTATTATTAAAACTTCAAGAGTCGCACTCCAATATTTAGAGCAAACGAACATTCCCTCTCTGTTACATTACCATCCCAGCGATTTACAGCAGTTAAATAAACACCTATAGAGTAGTCGCGTGTTAATAATCACAAATACTAACAATCACGTGTATTAGGAATAGAGGCGAAATACATTGGATTTATAGAACTAATAATACTGCTTTATCAATTGACATTTCGATTATTTAACTTACAGTACTTTGAGTTATACGTGCTAACCGCTAGATGAGCACCCACCTTCGGTTTTCTTTTTAAAATATGCTTTCAAGGCTGTTGTAAATAAGGATGAATGTGGTCATAATCTAATTAAAATGCGTGTAAATAATCATCATAACTGGTGGTGAAGTGTGTTTTTTCTTTTAGCATAAAGTCAGTTACCAAGATATCGGTGCCTGAATTTCAATAAATGGTCTCCAATGAAAGCTCACAAACATTTTTGAGATCACATGCAGCACAAACAACGGGTTTGTAGCCAACAAATCCGTCAAGTACCAGGCGCTGGCACTTCTCTCAGTACCCTCAAAGTATGTGGAGTAATTGATAAACGACGGTCAATATCACCACTTGTTGTCCATGCAATTCGACATGTTAGACAGATCAAATACAAGAGTAAGAAGCAGCTTTTCAGAAATCTGGCAATCAGGTCAATTAGCGGTCACTGAACATACTGACATTGGTACACATGATTAAAAAAGCGTCGTCGGAACAGGTCGGAATAAAAAAGGGGAAAATCAACAGTTACGGCTGACGACAAACAAGGAATATGGAGTTCGAAAGACACCATATGCAACTAATAAGAGATGAAATTTTGTTTACCTACTTCTTTGTGGAAGTATGATGTTTGACTTTGTCTGGACAACCAATGGAATCCATCCATTTCAAACAGTTTCAGGCAAACAAAAGCTATCACTGAAAAATAAGTCATTTGTCAAAGTCACGACACGTGTGTTGTTGGAAAATACAATCGTTGAAAAAATCATTCCAGTCAATTGGTTGTATTCTCAAGTACTATCAAAATGTGCTTCAATGTCCGTTTACATTCTAAATGAATATTTTCTGTCCAGACATTCACACCAACGGGCGGACATCTATTTAACATGATATCTTTATAAATGTTGGGGTGATCCAGAAAACCTCTCGCAACAGACAAGCAAGGATCAAGAAAACACTACAAAGCTTTTTATTCAATCAGCGTTCACTTGTAGTTTATCCAGAAACATCGGGAAAGTGAAACGTCACATGTAGAGTTTCTGATTGGATGATCACCATACTGCTACTATATTTAGTAGCATTCCAGAATCTTTGGGGAACCCAAGGACATCAAAAATATTATAAAAACCTTATATTTTCTGTACTAGAATGAACGTCTGCAGGGATGAACTTCTCCCATACTTTACGCTTTTTCTCTCGTGTTCAGGTTGCTGTTTTGTTCTGGCTTGGGGGTTACAAGAATCACTTCGGAACCAAATAAAGCGTTCAAATAGGAAGACTTATCAATAAGTATCTGAGTAGTTTACAATAATCTTCAAAATATTTCACACGAATATCTGGAAACTAATTTAAACACTCTTTGTAACAACATCTATTCATCGTGTCTAATCAAATACAATCGAAGAGTTCATTTAAAGAAAATTGTAAACTAATGACAAGTAAGATATGTTCATACATCAATAGGAAAACACAGTACAGTGTAGAAAACTGTTCTCGTTTGCGGTAGCTGTCCAGATAATATATTGTGCATGTAATCACCTGTAATTATGAAAACGTAGATGATTACTTTATTATGAATGCATTCGTATCAACATATGTATCAGTGAAATATTAGGCATTTAATGACTTAGAGTTACACATTTAGTAATTTCTGAACACTCATACATAACAAATAAACAGTAAGTGCCTTGTATTTCGACCCGTCAAATATTGACAGATGATCGTTTTTATAACAAAGCATCATATAGATTGAGCCGTTCAACAACTCAACGCCTCTCTTTCAGCGATTCAGCTTGGCATCTCGTTGTGTTTGCTTCAAAATGTTTCGTGATGAATGGTTATGAATGTTGTGAATAGTAGACACTAATGCTTCAAAGTTCTGATTTAAACAGAACGATATCTTTGAATGCATAATAATCAATGAACGGTTATTTGTACTGGAATTCGCTTATTTATTCGGAACTTACAATTAACATTTCACCGCACCAACAAACCAAGGTTGCACCTAGTAAACCTTTCTAAAATAAAGAAAAGAAAACAATTCACCCAACTTCATCACAGATCTACATAAGTATCAGTGGATAAACAGTATTACTTTATTAATTAACTCTACCAATTTTAAACTATTATGTACCAGTTCATGTATGAGACCGATCAGGCTGTTATTCTGAATTCGCACATCATGTAATCATTCTGTCTCATGCTTGACTGTTGTCTAAACAACGAATTACTTTCGTCAAGGACTGTATCACGAAACATTCAAGCTACGTATTCCACGAATATGAAATCGTTGCTTGAAGATGTACTGTTGGTGGTTTTGACTGTAATTATCATTTTGTTAGACAATCATAATATATAGGTAGTATTGAGAATCAATTTCTCAAATTATAACATGATTTCATGATGCTTTGTATTAACAGCATACAGTGTAAACTACACATCAGATTGCTGACGTTTACGAGTTTTAATCCATGTGTAAAGGAAACTGGATTAATTAAGCAATTATACGTGATGAAAATATGATAGTGGAGACACTGTTGTATTTACTATGGCGGAGAAGTGTTGTGAATAAACGTTCAACGCAGCTGAACATGTATTAGAAAACAAAGATTTGTTTGGAATATTCCTCAATGAAATACGAATTGAAAATGTATTTCTATTTCAATGTTGGAAACGTTTCATCGGTATTCGTTATCGCAATATTTTATTAGGACAACTGTAGCTATTCAAGAAAACCACTTGTGGAATGTAGAAATCTTTGATAAAATCAACTTACACTTTTATATATCACCCCGAAAACAAAGAAAATCAACCCAGTTACAGCAAACACACAACAAATGGTGAACAAGATTATCATCCATTTCATTTTTGAACCTTGTAGCTTTATATCCAGCAAAATGGCTATGATGAAGATCGCGATAGCTATAGATACAGAAATAATTTGTTCGTACCATTTTCCAACTGACATAAGTAATACAACACCGACATCTAAGAATGCCATCTGAATAGGGAAAGATTAGTGTGAAAAAACTATTAGTTGAGAAGTTGAATACGTCAACAACGGGAGAAATAATGAAAGAATAATCTTCACTCTCCTGCATTCGATTGAAATGGTTAAAATGAATATATTTATGGATACAAGCACATGGCAAGGAATCCTTATCCAAGTCTATAATATTGACCAACATAAAGTAGTTTCAAAGCTTATTCGCTTATTCAGTACACACGACCATGTTATGTGAGGTTTATTACCTAAATGGTGTGAGTTATAGTAACTTGGGTAAACCAACAACTACGACAGCAAGTAATGGCTGAGACTTGAAACACCAACTGATGACTTGAGTATCATAGAACACAAGTTCAGCGGTATACAAAGTGTGTGGATGATTACACAAATTATAATGACAGAAATCCAATTCGTTTAGTTGTTCTGTGTTTACGACCCATTCCATATCTTAGAAATAGTAATATCAACAAACGTAGATAAGAGTAGAATGTGCCGGTATCACGTGTATCAACGTCTACATATTTCTGAATTATCCATAACATGGACAGATACCTTTTAATGTTATATAATTCTCATCATTTATCGGTTGAGTAATATCAGATAATCCAACCGGATCTAAAATGATCTAGTTACAAACATCAACAATGTTATGAAATCAGTGAAACTATAGAAACTGGATATCTATGCATATTGACATATTGACAACACAACGTTGAAACTCATCTGTTCAAGTCAACCTTCAAACATTCTTTTATCTCCATCACCTTTATCAAACTAACATGACAGTATTTACATTATTCAACAAACAAATCTACAATAAATTCGATCGATGGTCGAATGAAAATATCATGAATGCAATAGTAAGCCATATTCAACTGACGGTGATAACGATGAAGATAGTGTTCATTGTGGATGAAGAATGTAGTTTCTTAATAAATATGATTATTAATCCAAGAACTAATCCGATCAATCTGAAATACAAAAGAACAAAATGAACAACATAATAGACTGAAAGATACAATAGACCATAGTGATGTGCATCAGATGTTCTACCTAATCTGAGTTCATGAAATGACTGAAAAAGTTCCTCAACATTTCAGTTTGACATTTTTGAAATAATATGAATCTTGTCAAAACGATCGAAAAATGCATTACGTTATAAGTGATCTCTTGAAAATTTCATTTCATCCCCCAAATGCCTTGGTACGGCCGAGGTTGCGGAGAAATAGGTCTCCATCTCGATATTCTCTCAGATGGACACGTGTATATAGCCACTACCGTAGAAGCCCTACTCACTGCACTCCCATGGTTGTGGTGTTGTTTGTGAAATCGAGGGGACGAAAAGCGATTGTCCAGCGCTTCATCCTGACTACTGGATGCGGAGAGTTCACTTGAGGGAGTCGGAAAACACTGATTACAAACTAATGATGCATATGGCACCAGGATGCTGTGGGAAGAAATGGCATGTCAACCAAATAATGGTCACCACCTCTCATGGAGCTGCATCTCCTTACGTTTCTCCATTGCCTTGTGGATCAAACATTTTGATCGAGGGCTTCGGGTGTAGCTCCTTAAGAAAACCACCTGCTTCGGTCTAACCCGACTGTCAGTATCACAGTCAATGCACAAATGAAGTGATTTGTGTGTCGTGTATGTATTCGCTGATCCTCTACTTCAAATATTTATCAATTGAATTAAATACATAAATACATTTCAGTATGGTCATTGATTGTGATGTGATGTAACACGACATGAGAACGGTTTGTACTGAATACGAAACAAACTAATTCTCTGTTCCTCAATCATAATTTTCTTGTCAAACATGGATCAGGTGTATTTAGCATAGTGTACTAATCAGTTCATCGAATGATACGTAATAGTAATACATGGGAAATTTTCGTCGTGATTTTTGTGCATTACCTGTATTTAAAACATATATTACTTACGTTAATATGAGACCACTGAGAACAACTGGATCTGTATACTTAATGGAGCTGAAACTTTCAAATGGAATGAAAAATATCTTACTTGCACATAGAATTATTCTGACTGGTTTCATTTGACAAATTATCAAATTCGAATTTCATCATCGTTGAACTATATGCAATGGAGATTTGTGAACCATTTACGTTTAAAAATTCACCTTCCACTATCACCAATTCCAACGTTGACTGAAATAAGTAAGAATTCACAATAATACAGTAATGGAGAAATTCAATTTCATGGATTACATAAAATTTTAAATATTCATTTACTTGCCTATTTCTATCTTCATTCATAGTATTTCCTCAAGGATGAATTTATGCACAGAATTTGAATTTCATCTGACTAGTTTGCTTTATCATGTTTAGGAGATTAATAACAAAGTTCGAAAGTTGATCATATATCATCTCATTTGATTCACGTTAACAGCTGACGGCATAAGGTGTTTTGAAGTCATCAACGTTGGCCTACTCACTTCAATGAATATAATTAACATTGACCAATCTAATCATCCCCATAAATGATACTCAATGGAAGTATACTTTTTCTCTATTATTCTTTCCCGTGATTTCCAGAAAAGATTTTGTCATATTGTAAATTGTGCTGAAGGTAGTGAGTAGAGTGTGTGGTAAGTCTTTCGAGATGATTACGAATATGATTTTACAAGCGATGATGGATATTGACTAGCGGTGGAAGGCATTACACCCGTTTCGTCTGTTGCTAGTCACAATCCGTCTACGCGAATAAAGCTTGTGACTGAAGGCAATATCGAGGTAGTCCGCACAGGATGCACATATGTTAACAAAATACTGATCAATTGCAGTACTGAACATCAGTGGAAAGCCACAAACAAACAATAACAACTTCGTCACGAACATGAATGTGTATAGACTGCTGAAAAGTGATATCCTACCAAATATTTAACATCCATTTCATTCACATCTTTCACCTTCTACATATTCCAGTAGAGCAAGAAATCAATAAATAGGAATCTTGTAGAATCACTCGTGTTTGTAAAAGAAACTATTTAAAATCATTTGTGCTGAGAGTTATGTATTGTAGTAAGCATATAAAATCGAACGAAATCATTGTTATAACTACTTATAATACGACTTATCAGCACATCTAAACTCATGCTTAATTCATAACATTCGATAGAAATTGAAAAACTCACATGCAATGATTCTGATTTTCAGTAAGAATGATTCAATAAAATTACACAAATTTATAATGAAATTCACCAATTACGTAGAATCGTCTTTCTTCACTTACTTTTTTCATTGAACTTTGGTTAAGTTAACTTTGTACAGAACAACGGAATAAGTGATTCGTTAGAAATAAAGCAAACTCAGTTGACTGTTAGTTCATTATGAGAGAGTGAGTGATAACATATTGAAATGGAAACGATTATTGATTTTGTTACTCCGATTAACTCAATGGCTAAATGTAGTCTCTACATAGTATTGATGCCAAAAGAAATACATAACGTTAACACAACGTTGACTATACACACATATCATGTTTCATGTTTTAGATATTTGGATAGGGATGACTTCTTTAAAAATCAACCAACAAATAGTAAACTATTTCTTATTCTATGACCACTGATAAACTGATAAACCATTATACAGTTTCGTGAATTGAATCGTGAGGAATAATTCCTATGAAGAACATAATGTTGACTGACTTGATGAACGTCAATCAAAACCATTTAAACTTGCCTGATTTGTCTTGTTCTCGTCCATGAACACTTAACGGCTTGACAATCCTGCACAAATAATGTTGTTATTTCTATAGAATAAGTAACTAGATAAAATAAAAAATTCTTCATTAACCCATGAAAACCACTTGTTGGAAGCACATCAGTCCAAACACCGCCTACTGCATATTTGATACGATGATTAACGCCTGAATTATGTATGTGACTATAATTTACATTCAGTCTACCACACATGTGCCGTATTTTTGACGTCACATACTATTTCAATCCTTTGCATTATTCAAAACCACTAATTCACTGACATAATCTCACAAACCGTTGGATCGTTTTGTTTACTATTACTTATCAAATTGTTAAAATTTCCTCTCTAACATTATCAGAATTGATTACATTGGAATATAATAGTTACAAATGGAAGGATATGAAACTGGTTGCCAAATGATGATAAAATTCATAACATTCATTTATAACGTTCGTTAATTCATACAAACACTACAGATGTTCATCAATAATTCTTTATTGATATATCCAAAACACTGATACATCTGAAGTAGATCTTCTGAACGCCTAATCGAATGTGATTTCTTCACAGGGATATAAGAGAATGTAGATCAATATCATCACAAACCTTAATGTCATGTCAACCGATTTCTTTCCAAGTATCCTGATTACAAAGAAAAAGGTTGTAAAATGAATTTCAAAAGTCATACATTGATACATAAAACAATCTGTTTATGAAATTTGTATAATTCTTTTTTGTTTTTCTGAAAATATATTCAGTGTTAAGTAGTTCGTTATTCTAATTGTTAGCTCATGTTTAAAGTGTTTTAAAAATCAAATGCCAACTAGCTATCTACTTAAATAGATGATCCGATTGATATGCATTTAACTATTAAGTATATAATGAATTTGATTTGTACTGTGAATAGATCTCTTTTATGTTGGTCACTTAGAGACGCACATCTAATTTGATCTTCGATCAACTGTGTGCATATATGTAGATTATACTGATTGAGTGTGTTTTATTGTGTCAAACTAACATACACTCAACGTGAACTTTACTTTGATTAACATAATGGTAATTGATAAGGTTTTTGATACTAGGATCTTCGTACGGACTTTTGCGTTATTAAAAGAAGAAAAAAGGGATCAGTCAGTCTTATGCATTACAGTTTACCACTTACTTACTTACTTACGCCTGTTACTCCTCGTGAAGGAGCGTAGGCCGCTCACCAGCATTCTCCATCCAACCCTGTCCTGGACAATCCTTTCCAGCTCCTTCTAGTCGTTA